CAAAAATTGCTACTTATTTATAGAAATAGTTACTTTAAATGTTCATTAGTTCGGGATTTGTCCATTCTTTATTTCTACAGCAAAATATGTAGTACGTTGATCGGATGGCAATAGATATAATTTTTCTGATACAATATTGTTGGTGTTAATTATCCAGTCCTAATAATAATAATAATAATAATAATAATAATAATAATAATGGAAACTTTATTTTGACATTTTATGTATATACAATTATAAATCTCACTAATTAAGGTAATTTATAATTGACTACTTGAACTATTAATTATTGATAAAACTATATTACAGGTATAAAACTAAGAGAAAGCTCATTCTTAAATGTTCATCAAGTCCGGATCGGACCAATCCTTGTTTCTACTACAAAATATATAGTACGTTGTTCTGATGGCGATGGTAGTACGTTGTTCTGATGGCGATGGACATAATAATAATAATAATAATAATAATAATAATAATATTAATAATAATGGAAACTTTATTTTGACATTTTATGTATATACAATTATAAATCTCACTAATTAAGGTAATTTATAATTGACTACTTGAACTATTAATTATTGATAAAACTATGTGATGATAATAATAATAATAATAATGATAATGATAATAATAATAATAATAATAATAATAATAATAATAATAGTTCTAAAGTAGTTGTCATGGTAACACGATAATTTTTTAAGAATATTCTTACAAATGAAAATCGCCTAAATATATCACTTTTAATTACAAAATTATCAATTTCCCAACATGTATATGTTAGGTATGATATTATACGTAATATAAGCTTCAATTTAAGGTAAAATTCAACCACAAACGCTTCGCAAAACGTTTTAAAGTGTTCTTTATAAAACCAAAGTCATTAAACTGCCTTTAACTATTAAATGGCTTTATCGATAAACTTTGAGTTTGCAATAAAATGATTTCAAATTCTCGCTTGCAAATAACTTTGCTTTCTTTTTTATTTAAAAAATATTCAATATAATAAAAAAGGGAATCAATGATTAAAGATACACTGAAATGGGGCCCGATATGCTGTCTTGTTTAGTTGTTTCATATACGCAAAGGCTGTCGGGTTTTAAAGCAATTATAAAATCAATATTTAAAACAAACTTACCTTCGTTAACGTCGACTCCCTTCTTTTAGCCGATACTTTCGCCATTTCTTTCTTGAAATTTACAAAATCTTGCAGAAATACGAGCAAAAATGAAGTATATTTGCAAGAAATTTATCAATCATCAAATCAAGAAATGTTTGCTATTTCGCTGTCGTCGTGCAGTCGTTATAATGCAAACTTTAAATTGGACCAATCACAGTGTTTGCTATTCATGACAGTCCGCCATATTTTTGAGATTAGTGAGGATGACCACCCATCGTTGGTGACCGACGCCCGCGCTCATTGATGAACTTTAGACTTCGCTAATGCTTTCGTTTCCCCGGGTGTAAATAGCCGGGGGGGAATTAGTACCCTCGCACGGCGCTTCGCGCCGCCGGCTCGGGGACTAACTAAGATAACAGAACAAAGTGCATGCAATATATATATATACAATGAGATAAGTCAAATTGTTAGTAAATCCGGACTTCCCATTCCTTATTTCGGCAGCAAAAAATGTAATATGTAGTTCTAATAGCAATAGTCATCATTTTCTTAACGCAGTACATTTGGTGGTTTTTGTCAAGACCAATACTTTCTAACATGTCTAAAAATGTATAACATTTTTCTGCAAAAATACCTACAGAGCTGATGGAGAGATGTATAAATATAACTTGGTTAAAATATTTACCTAGCTGTCTCAATAATTCTCTATATTTATCCAGGGCGCTATAAAACACGGGCGTGGAAACGCGCTTATTATCGCGTGATGTGTGATGCGCCAGAGAACTGGTACTAGCGCGCGTTTTGAGAGAAAAGCAAAAAGAAAAGCGAAAACATGGCGGAAAAAAGATTGTTGTGCGACTTTGAAAGCCAGGGCAAAAATAGACGTAAGACCTTTTTTAATGTGAGATTTCTTTGATTAATTTTTAAAAGGAGCATTATTTTATGCTATTAATAAACTTTTTATGTAAGAAGCATCCGACCTATTTGACAAAATAAGTTAGTTTTTCAATTATTTTAATGTGAGGGGCATCAAATTTTATTACTTTACGCACGACAACAGAGATTAAAATCAATGCTGTCTGAACACTAGGTAGGCCTAGATAAATTTGATAGCTTAAAAATGTGCGGAGTTTCTCTGGCTTTAGTACACAATATATACCAAGATCGGCTTTTACCGGCTTTTTTTGCTATGCTTAAATTTTGGCATTAACATAATTTTCTCGACAGCGCGTGAGAGCTAAAACATAAAAAGCCTACAAATCGCGGTCAAACTAAAAGTCAATGTTAACATTGCAACACAATTTTTCAGTAAATTAAATTCTTAAAAAACTTTAGGTGAACATAATTGTTTTCAGAATTTTTAACCCTGTCTGCATAATCTATTTATATTACTAACACTGTTCTATAAACCCAATAAGAAGTGTCTTTTCAAAGCGGGCAAAAACGTTCTTTATACACATTGCATTAAAGTTCTCAGTTTACTTTTTTCATGCATGGACAAAAATGTCTTGTTGATATTTCAACATAATGTCTAGCTCATGTATGAACTATAGCTGTTTACCACAAAATTTACAGTTATAATGCATAGTATTATATAATTTATGATTTTTACCAACAGAAAGTCGGCTTTTTTGTTAAAACATGGTTTTTCGGCTTGGTATTGACATGCTCGTACATGAAACGACTGTTACTGTTAGCCATTAATTTAGTATGCAGGAAGCGCGGAAAAAATGTTTCGACTTGTATCCCTTTTCCTAGGTGAAAAACTTTGCCTGAAATTTTGCACAGTTATTAATAGAGTTACGGAAAATCGATTTTTATTAAAACGAAGACCGGCTTTTTTGTTAAAATATATACAACTTTTCGGCTTGGTTTTGCCATGGTCTCACTCGAAAGGACCAGGTCAATGTAGCCATGTTTGGCCATGAAACTTAAACCGCGGAAAAAATTTTTAATTGTTTATTTTATTTTTTCCTAGATGAAAAACTTTGCCTAAAAATTTGCACAGTTGTTGTCAAAGCGATTTAAAATCGATTTTTCTTAAAAAGAAGACCGGCTTTTTTGTTAAAACATGATTTTTTCACCTAGTTTTGACCTGGTCTCACATGAAACGACGAAGGTACTGTCAGCCATTTTTACTCATGAAACACGAAGCGCGGAAAAAATGTTTCGACTTGTATCTCTTTTCCTAGGTGAAAAACTTTGCCTGAAATTTTGCACAGTTATTAATAAAGTTATTGAAAATCCATTTTTATTGTAAAGAAGACCGGCTTTCATTTGTTAAAACACAACTTTTTGGCTTGATTGGCCATGGTCTCACTCAAAAAAACAAGGTCAATGTAGACATGTTTGGTCATGAAACTCAAACCGCGGAAAAAAAAATATTTGTATCTTTTTTCCTAGATGAAAAACTTTGCCTAAAAATTTGCACAGTTGTTGTCAAAGCGATTTAAAATCGATTTTTCTTAAAAAGAAGACCGGCTTTTTTGTTAAAACATGATTTTTTCACCTAGTTTTGACCTGGTCTCACATGAAACGACGAAGGTACTGTCAGCCATTTTTACTCATGAAACACGAAGCGCGGAAAAAATATTTCGACTTGTATTTTTTTCAGTTCTCTATGACGTTAAAAGATAGTCCCAAGCTATAGACTCGTAGGGAACACCGTATCTTTAGAAAAAATATCCGTTTCAACCACTTTATGTCTTTAAAAGTGCACTGACCTTTTCAGGCTGTTCTAGACAAACCACATTTTCTTTACAATATTCCCTCTTGACTGTAGCATACACTTTAAGTACATAAACCTCTCATTCCATATAGTGTCATCCCAGAGGTAAATCGTTTTGGTGTTCATTTGCAAATGAGTTCAACTAGGCCATGACCATGTTTCTTATTTTAACTCTTGCCGTGTCTTTCTTTTCAAATGTTGATATTCGAATGAGGATTTCCAATATTCGAAAACCTACGGGGGGTCCGTACATCACACATAGATCAGGGGCATCGTTGCCGTTTCCACGCTTGTGTTTTATAGCGCCCTGATTTATCCTTCTTCGGTTTTACGTTGTTTTTGAGGTTTGTCTCATAACCAGTGGTGAGTTCAACCACATATAAGGAACCATTTGAGCACGATAATAACAAATCTGGGCGAAACGTATCACCAGTAAGTATTGAAGGGCTTTTGAATCTAGAGAGGCCAACTGTCATAAAAGGAGTGCGGAATTCAGAGGTAATTCTCGAGGTTTGGAAATCAGTATATAAAGTTTTTATAACAAATTTTATATGATCAGGGATATGGTGGTAGTCAAGTACGGATTGGATGAGGTTGTGATGGATTTCGGCGAAGGCATTCTTAAGATCAACTAGGGTGATGACAACAGAGCGTTGTCTGATACGAGCTTTATTTATAATGTCAGCCATTTGTGCAGTATGTTCTAGAGTGCCAGATAGGTTAGGGGTGAAGCCTTTTTGTATGTTGTGTTTGACGAAGTTATTAGATGCGAGGAAGGAGTATGCTGCGTTTCGAAGACAAGATGTAAATACATTTAAAGGTATGGATTCGAGTGTTATGGGGTGAAATTTGAAGGGTCATTATTGTTGCCTTTCTTGTGGATTAGTATGGTACATGCTCTTTTCCACTCAGTTGGGACAGTTCCAGATAGCCAAATATCGTGAATTAGCTCAGTAAGGTAAGTTCGCAGATAAGGACAATGCTTGAAACTTATTATAATAATAATAATAATAATAGTAATAATAATAATAATAATAATTGTTGTCATATAATAATAATTCTTTTTCTGTCGTTCCTTTTTTTTTCTTTCTTTTTCCTTCTTTTCTTTCTTTCCCTTCTTTTCTTTCTTTCCACCTTTTTCTTCCTTCCCTTTTTTCTTTCTGCCAGCATAAAATATTTTCTGGGACCATTGGTCCCATGGTCCACTATATTTTCCACCCCTGGATTGCAACCCCCCATGTAAATCTGAAACTTGCAATGCAATTTCTGATAAAAGGCGATGTGATTTAAAAATAAGTCACAGGGAAATTGTGAGCATAGACCACAGTTTACTTTTATTATTTTCACTTCTTTCATTTTTCATCCATAAAAAGCATGTTATATTGTAAAGAAAGTGTCAGCAGAATAGAATGCTGGCCATGTTCAATTATGTCACTATTTTATCTGGCAGGTTTTGACAAGCTTGATCATTGTTGTCATTGACAATGGTTGCTTGTCCATGTGTTGTAGCCTTGAAGCTGCTAACTGTAAATGTAAACCTTGCTGTCCACACGTACTTTCTAGGATGCAGCACCTTAGTCTCCATCTCAGACATGCAAAATAGCACGACCTTGTTTCTTGCATGGAAACCCTGACAATTCAATTACTAATACTTCATGTTAAATCAATGTTTGGGAAATATAGGCGAGGGGTTGCAGGCATGCATATATTTCTAATTATTCGATCGACAGACTTTTGTGTTATCTCGTTGTATGATGTACTAAAAATGAAAATTTCAAAATAAAAATGCAGAAATTCCCATGAAATTCCTTTTAAAAACTTCATATCCTTAATAACTCCTTAAAAAGTTCAAAGTTTCCTCAGTTGAAGGAAATTTCCTTAAAGTGGCTCCTCATATGCCAATCGTTCCTGGAGATTCCGCTTGAAACCGTATATATCATATTAATAATTAATGTATCTGTAAATGTTTATTGTTATTTTAATAACAACATTTTTTGTTTATCAATATTTGTTTATTTTTTCTCTTTTCTCATTGGATGTTTTTGGTCTATGCCGCTTGTTAGGCAACGGTATTTACTTGTTCAAATATAGTTATCATTTAACGGCTCATAGCTTACATATCATAATGACATAATTTGAAAGAGCTTAACGAAAGTGTTAAAGAAGAATTTGCCATTTCCGATGATCTGGACACTAAAAATTTCGAGTCCGTCCCCCTAATTCTTACATGCTTTCTACGCCCTTGGTTCAAGCTTTTTTTTTTTGTATGTCACAACTGACTTAATTAAGTTTAGTACACAATCTTTATTTTAAAAATTTGCTCTTCAGTTTTTGAATATAATTTTAAAAATACCCCATTAATTTTTAACCAAACCCAACATTGTTTTTAAACCACGTAAACAACAAAATATTTAATCCATATAAAACCTATAAACACAAACATGGATATTCTCTCATGAAAAAAATATTCTTTTTGTCTATATATAATGCATCCCATCCCTCCCATCGCATTAAAAGTCAGGCAGGGCAGGTGACAATAGGAGATTTGCCAACAGATGCTATTGCATCATTTGGCTTTCGTTCATTGATAACAGCCTGAGGATGAGGTCACATGATAACTTTATGCTGTGATCTGTGGAACACCAGCCCATTTTTGATGAAGAGGCCTGGTAACCAAAGGTATATGTGACCACATAAATATAGTTTTAAAAAAGATATAAAATACAACAAAAATTCAAATCTCATGTTTGCTGCCTGTCCTCCCTCTTTACCCACTTCCAAACCAGGTACCTTCTAAGCAACCTTTATAAGTTAACATTATATTAAAAGCATTGGAAAGTCAGTTAATATTTAATAGCAACCTTCATCAGTTTCATATTCACACTTGGTCATGGATAGCGACTTCAATTTCGTCCACTTCTTGCATCAGATGAATATATCCTTTTCAGCTGTTTTTACGTCAATGCATGTTCAGCTTATTTCTCCACTGTAATAGTACTATATACAGTACGTATAGTACTATTAGAATAAATATTAGGAGAATAGAGTAAATCGCCTGTTAAATAAATTTGGATTATTAATAGCAGCAAATCGTGGTTGAAGATATGACGAAACTATAAAAGTTTTTTGATCAGTTTGTTTCTATAGTATACATGCATACAAAAAATATCGTGCAAGTCCCTTGACTGAAAAAAAAAATCGAACAGTGTCAGGAGGCGGAAAAAAATTATCGGGCAAACTGAAAATCTACCCACCCGACAAAACGTTTTCCCGCGTGTGAGAAAATTGTTTCGCCTTCCTAATTGCCCTCATTGGCTTATCTGCATTTCAGAGCGAGTTTTCTCATAATTATAAGTTCTTCCCATCGGAAAACTCAACATCTATATAAGAAGAAAATTATCGTAATCTCTGTTATAATAATCCTCCCTGGGGCTGGGGCCTAATTTTCCAAGCACCTTTAAGGGAGGGGGTAATTATCGAAGACGGAAGGTTTAAAAGAGTGGGAGGTTTTTAAAGAGGGCTCAATACGAGCGATTACGGTAATTTCAGAATATGTAATATAGACTTAGATCAATTCCGTCTCTCCAGAGTCCGAGTCGCGAAGCGGCGAGATCGAGCGAGGTGCAATTAAGAATACAACTTTCCCGCGTTATGGCACCTTCGCGGCGCGCTCGATCCCTCGGATTCATGAGAGACGGATTTGATCCAAGTCTGTATATAATATTGCCGTGATAAAATCACAGAATAGGAAGGTATAGCAGAAGTGTAACTTGAGTCGGTTCCTTTATTGTTTTACGTCCACGAAAAGTTTAACTCGCTCACGCCATCCTGGCTAGTACAACGGGATGGCGTGATTTATTGATGACAAATTGCTTGTAAGAACGCGGACAATTACTTGCTTGAGTTACACTTCTGCTATACCTTCCTTCCTATACGTGTGATAAAATGAAGTAATATCACTAAAATGTAATAATATTTTAACCACATCTTATTACACTGTTAATAATATACATAAAGATATTACTCGACTGTGATTGGTTGATTTCAGTGCAGTTAATCCCAAACAGCAGTGCAATTTTCTGTAATCACAGTGCAATTTTCTGTAATCACAGTGCAATTTTCTGTAATCACAGTGCAAAAATCTGTAACAAACTGATCTGATTGGTGGAAAAACATTGTGATGATTAAATCAATCAATCAGTTTAAAGAAATTTAGTTTAAAGAAGTAACGGTCATAGATTGCTTCAAAACAAAACAAACATGGCGCCGCGCTACACAAAGTAAAAGTTGCCTTCGCGTGGAAGGTATGGTTTTTATCTTTATTTTCAAATGGAAAAGCATTTACTTTAAACAAGACTAACAAAAATTACATAGTTGAGTGGAATTTTCAAGCTGTTAGCCTGGTATTAATGTGATATAACAAAGCCAGGAAAACTTTGCCAGTGGAATGTTCGCTATAAACGCGTAAGTTAAAACTACGATTGTCTCGAACATTTTTATGTAAATTATTAATAAGTAATAGCATGGTTTCTCGTGAAATTTGGATAAACATGCACTCGTGAGTTTTTCAAAGACCTCAAATAGCACTCGTCCTTCGGACTCGTGCTATTTTGATGTCTTTGAAAAACTCACTCGTGCATGTTATATCCAATTTGCACTCGAAACCACACTGTTAATTTCGAGGAGTCAAATTGACTCCAAAAGTGGAGTAAATAAAAAAGGTACAGAACGACTCCTTTTTTGGATAAAATTTACACCAAAAATGGAGTAAATAAAGGAGTAAAATTTACTCCAAAAAAGGAGTCGTTCTGTACCTTTTTTATTTACTCCACTTTTGGAGTCAAGTCGACTCCTTTGGAGACAAAGGCATTAAAGAATTATACTTCTATATATCGGAGTAAAGAAAAGTCTTTAACTAACTTTAGAAATCAATAAAGACATTTTTCGAGTCAAAATAATTTATTATCCCTACAAGTAAGGTATATTATAGCAGGAAATACAATTTGCTGTAGCATAATATAACGAAATACTCTTACGCCCTATAATATTTTAATGAAGTTCCAAATTGATTAGAATGATACCATGAATACATGATTAGAATGATATCATGAATACATGTGCAATACAATTATAAGCCTGTCAGCATGAATTGAACCTGCAGCCCTGCAATTCTACCGCAGCCCTCTGACCTAAAGAGCCCTTTTGCCAAGAGGTAACCACAAGTTGTTGTATGTATACCATGGTGGTGTCATTGGTAGTGTATTAAATAAACTGCCCAGGATGACACTAGTATTATATACATGAACTCTTGGTTACAGTAGAGCTTGATTGACTGTCAGGGCGATGGACTCTTAGGGCTTCAGGACCTTTGACGGTTAAAAAGCTGATCAGAATCACCTGTAGGGCAGCAGGTTCCATTCCCAGCACAGTACCGGCTATTACATAGTTATCGTTCAAAAAATTTACATTTACAGAAAAGCTTTAACCCATTAAGTGGCAGCACTCTCTCCTTAATGAGCAAAAATTGTCTGACCACATTTGACAGAAAAAATAAAAAGTAAAGCAAATTGCCACTTAAAGGGTTAATATTCTGTTCAATGTAGAATCTCTACAAGTAAAACATACTGCATGTATTAAATGTATGTAGTGTCACTTCTCAATCAAACATGTCAAGCAAGTCCATTAGTAA